ACTCCCACAAAGGAGGCCACACCCACAGAGTAGGTTCGAACAATTTTTGAAACCCACCACTGTACTATACCTTCCACCAGTTGTAGACAACAGGGCCAATAATCAAACATGGTGGGAGCTGCAGTTCAGCAACATCTGGAAAGGTACAGACTGAGCATCTCAGTGTACTGAAAAAGGGCAGGTGAGTGATGATAGGATTCATGGGCTATATTTATGGAGAAGCTGGATTTTTATTTCAACAAAAGGTGCTATGGGAAAAAAAAACAAATGAAGAGAGAACGATGCTTTATTTATTTAGGAAATGTATAAGGCTGCTCAACTCACAATGGGCGGTTAATAGGAAAAAAAATAAGAAAATAAAAAAGAGGAAAAGAAGAGAAAGAAAGAAAGAAAGAAAGAAAGAAAGAAAGAAAGAAAGAAAGAAAGAGGAAGGAAGGATGGAAGGACCTTACATTTAACATCATACTCTTAGCTACTTACAACAGGATGTGTGCAACTCGATCTATCAGTCAAGGATGAGGCTTATGGATTTCATTAAGCCTCCCCACCCCCACCCCTGCCATCTAATTCTTCCTCTGTACTTCTGAGATGGTCATAAGACCTCATATATATATCATCATGGCTGCTGAAGATCAGAGAGTTGGTGTGTGTGTGTTAATGTAGGCTCATTGTGCTTTGGGGCAATTGTACTTTTAAAAAGCTGTAGGTGAGAGAAGTGATTTGGCTATGAGGAGAGCTGTGTAGGCTGCGAATTTCATAACCATCTCTTCTTTCTAGATAGCGCTACTGAGGTTCTGTGGATCTGCTGCTTGTCTCCACCCATTGTACAGTACTACTTGAATTTTTTCAAAAACAATGGCATTCTGAGGCTTGCAGGCCCAACATATTTGGAAAAACCAGGATGGAGAAAAGGGTGTGGCATTATTTACCAACACAAAAAGCAATCACACAATAGTTGGTGGAACTTTCTCCCACTCATGTATCCGATTCATTAAGTAATCTTAACCGACAGTACTTTTTCTGTAAGGGTGAGAATTGTTGCAGATTTCAACATTTGGCTTCAGCTTAGGTTTTATGCAACTGTGAACATTGCCCAT